GTGACTGTTCTTATTCAAACCACCACAGGGAGGCTGTCTGGTTAGAAGGGACAGCACCCTGCAGCATCAGGAAGGGTGTGGGCAGACACTAAATAAAGTGTTCCGTGTACTAAAAGCGAGGGTGGAGGTTGGAGTGGTGGGCACGGAGCAGTCTGGCTGAGCAGATGTTAGCTGCACCCCCTCCCTCACCTTTATAGTGGGGTAACAGTAGTAGGGCTCTGGGGATGGGTGGAGGCCTTCCAGCTAATGAACTTAAAGGTGCTTAGCCCAGTGTCTGGATAACTGTATACTGATAACGGAATCAGTACGGAGTAGGTAACTGCACGAGGACCGGCTGAGGCCAGAGAGGCCGGCTACAGACCCACCGAGTTGAGGGAGTTACTGCCAGGATCTGCAAACATGACCTCGAGCTTCCTTGCGGCCACATGAAAAAGGGTGATGTGATATTACAGATCATGGATTATCAAGATAGAGGAAGTAGCACTTCTTCAAGAGAAGCCTTGTTCTTTACCACAGTTTCCTCCAGGGTATTCCTCCGGGGGCACCTGGGGGAGAGCAGTAGCACGGGGCAAGAACGCTACAGTTCTGTGGGGTGACTTCCAGGAGAGGAGGGGAGGCGGCTTAGAGAAGGCATATTTGTGGGAGAAAGACACGGGGAGGGCCTGAACTCTGAGGACTCAAGGCTAAAGCTTGGAGGCTTGGAGCAGGTGGGACTGGGGCTGCCCTCTCTCTAGAGCAGCAGAAAAGTGGGGCGTCCTAGGGGTCAAGTTCTGCTCGCACTCACTGCTGTGTGGCTACAGACAAGAGGCTTCACCTCTCTGAACCTGCTTCCTCATCCACAAGGCGGAGTCTTCCCCATGGGGCCATCTGAGCATTGCAGGGTGTTGGCATGTGGCCAGGGCTCTGGTCTGTGTTAGCTATTTATGGGACATGGGGTGTACATAGAGGTCCCACTTCTTTATTCCACGAGCTTCCTGGCGGCAGCGGTGTGTGTGTGTGTGCGTGTGTGCGTGTGTGCGTGTGTGTGTGTGTGTGTGTGTGTGTGTGTGTGTGTGTAAGGAGTGTGAGTAACAGTAGCTCTTTGCACAGTTGGCAGAGACCAAGCACCCGTTGTCACTGCACACAGTGTTCTGGGCAGTGGATGGGAGGAACTCTATGGCAGAGCTTAGGAACCAGGATGCCCAGCCCTGTGACCGTGTCCTGGCTCTGAACCCAAGCAGGAAAGACAGATGGAACAGCCATTCCTCAGGCCTCTCTGGCTGGCCCTTTCCCATCTGCCTTGACAAAGGCCACCAGAGGGGGCATAAAGGGCAATGAGACAGTGTGCCAGGCCAGTTCTCAGCACAGCCATCCCTCCTTCTTGATGGGCTTTCTGTCCCTGGATTTGACCAACCATAGAAAAAAAGTATTTTGGAAAGCCGGATATGGTGGCATAAAAAACTTTCAGTGGCATATACCCATAATCCTGGTACTCAGAGGCAGGAGAATTACTAGTTTGAAGACAGCCTGGCCTACACAACAAGATGCTTTCTTTCTCAAAAAACAAAAACCAAAAAAAAAAACCACCAAAAACAATACCAAGAAAAAAATCAAAATAGAAAAAGAAAAAGAACAAAAAAAAAAAAAGAAAAGGAAGAAGATGATTTAGGTTGAAATTGCTGGTGTTATAAGCATGTGTGGGCTTTTCTTCTCATTTCTTGTCACAGAATGCTGAGATACAAAGGCTATGTGCACAGAATATCTATGACATTAGACACTGAACTCAACCCCCAGGAAACTTAAAGCATCTGGCAAAATGCACGTGGTTCTATATGCCAATGTACTATTTTAGAAATGGATGTGAGGATTTGGGTATCTAAGAGGCATTTGGGAGCCAGACACTGTATCACATAGGAGTCAGTCCTTGGGACCCCCTACAGTGAAGTACACATAGGAGTCAGTCCTTGGGACCCCCTACAGTGAAGTACACATAGGACTCAGTCCTTGGGACCCCCTACAGTGAAGTACACATAGGACTCAGTCCTTGGGACCCCCTACAGTGAAGTACACATAGGACTCAGTCCTTGGGACCCCCTACAGTGAAGTACACATAGGACTCAGTCCTTGGGACCCCCTACAGTGAAGTACACATAGGACTCAGTCCTTGGGACCCCCTACAGTGAAGTACACATAGGACTCAGTCCTTGGGACCCCCTACAGTAAAGTACACATAGGAGTCAGTCCTTGGGACCCCCTACAGTGAAGTACACATCATCTATTCCCTTCACATTCCCTTTATAGACACGGCAGGTGCTGAGACCACTGACTCCCTCCAGGTCCCCAGGAAATCCATGCAGCTCAAGTTATGGGGAGACAGAGGCTGAGGGCCTTCCTCCACTTAGGAGGGCTAGGGGCAGAAAGGTAAAGGCTACCCAACAGCCGACCTGCTTCCAATAGGATGAACCATGACAGACTTGGCAAAGCTATATATTCATATATATCTCCGGAGCCATCCCTGTGGCCCTGGCTCAGAGATGAAATGACACAGCCTCTGACCCCAGCTGCTCCCAGCCCAGTCTAAGAACCAGACATGACGTCATTGAGGTAATCTTTCTATGGCCAGCAGTGTCTGAGTTCCCTGTGCCATGATGGAGGGTGCTGGGTGGAGCCTTTTCCCTCCTCTCTCAGCCCCTCATCTGCATTCCTGCTTGCCTTTTACCCCCACTCAGAGGTCCCTTGTCCCAGAAAGCGTAAAGTCCCTGGCTGAATGCTGCTCCTCTTACTTCTTGGAATATTTGGGGTCTGCCCTGGCCTCTGTCATATCTGCGAGTCCACTGTGGGAAGAGACCCTAAGGGAGTTGCTTCCCATCCTTGGTGCCTGTGAGACCCAGCACAGACACATGGCAGCAGTTTTCAGGGCACCGTGGCCTGGCAGTTAAGCCTGGCTTCTGCAGGCTTCAGACGGCTTTCTCACCCCTCTGTGTGCTACATAGGGGCCTTCTGCTCCCCACGTTACACAGTAGCATCTCCAGGGTTAAGGGGAGGTGGTTCACTTGGTGAAGAGCTTGCTCTGCAAAGTTCAACCCCAGCACCCTAAGGAAACAAAACAAAAACTGTAGCAGCAGCCATCTGAAATGTCTGTACCGAGGAGGCAGGGGCAGAGCCATGTAAGGGCCTTGCTGGCTCACCAAACCAGTAGAATCTGAACTCCAGATACAGTCAGAGACACTGACAAAAAGAGATGGAAGATGACACCTGATTCCTACCTGTGTCCTCGCAAACATGCTTACATACATGCATGCTCACTCATGCACACATAAAGACACACGTGCACACACCAGTGTGACCACCACTGGGACTGAGTGCTCAGTCCAGGCTCTCAACACCTAAGAGTTTCAAGTGGCACTTCATACTGTCAGACAGCAAGTATTCCCTGACAATGGGTCTCTCTCTCTCCTTCCCTTCCTCCCTTCCTCCTTCCCTCCCTCCTCCCTCTTTCTCTTCCTCCCCCTCCCGCACTAGGAATGATGAACCCCAGGTGCTAGCTGAGTGCTCCTCCACCGTGTGGCATCCCTGTTCCCAGTGTTCATTCCTTGGATAGGCTCCCATTCTACCAAGTATGGTGACAATCAAGCTCACGGAAAGTGTTTTTCTGTAATTAGAGGCGTGCTCAAGCCCCAGAGGAGCAGCCCTGAATGCAAGCGCAAGGGAGTTGGCTGGTTGGGAAAAAGGGAGACTTTGATTGACAGTCTCACTGGGGTTAGAGTCCATTTGTCGAGACTGGAGGACTCCCACAGTGGAGGTCAGAGCCTTCAGTTCAAATCCTGTGCACCCTGGGGGGTGACGCTTCACTGCTAAGCCCTGATGGCTTTCTGTGTCCCCTTGCCAAGCTAATTGCCCATAGCCTGATGTCCACTGCTTCCTAACACACTGACATGTTCTGGGATCTGAATTTCCCTGTTTTGTTGATGGGAGGCCTGAAGTTTAGACAGAAGTCATATGCTAGAAGTGCACAGCTGGGAGGTGACAAAAAGTCAGATTTGAGCCCTGCACCCAATCTCTGCCTCTGGCACCTCCAGGTTCACAAACTCTCCTAGAAGCCTAACGGGGTTGCTAGAGGCTGACACAGGACTAGTTGGAAGCCTGCCCTGACAGTGCTCAGAGGCTGCGTGGGTCACTGTCCTCATACAAAGTCCGCAGGTCAAGAAGTGTATGTCTAATTAGTGCTGACCACCAGGACAGGAAGGTCTATATCTAACTCACGCTGACCACCAGGCCCAGAGAAGGCTTTCTGAGCTCTGTTTCCACACATTTTGGAGGCAGTCTTACTTTGTAGCCCAGGCTAACCTAAAACTCATGACCTAAAACTCATGCTTCAGCCTCCCCAAGTGCCTGGATTATAAGCATGAGTCATTTCATTCTCCACATTTCTAATTTTAAAAATCATTTACTTATTTATTTGACATGTGTGTGAAGGCCTGAATGTGTCCATATTCATGTGTAGTCAAACGACAGTTTTGGGGGCTCGATTCTCTTCCACCGTGTGGGTCCCCAGGACTGCACTCTGGTTGTCAGACATGGCCAGTGAGTGTCTTTGCCCGCTGAGCCATCTCACCAGCCTAGTTTCCATAGTCTGTAAAGCAAGAGCAGCAATGCCTGCTGGGAAGAGGCCCTGGGAAGACTAGATGATCTCAAGGGGCGCATCCTTCCTTCTTCTCTCCCCACATTGCCTTGGGGGCTGGTGTTTTCTGGGCCCTCTCATGTGGGTGAGTGTCCAGAGCCACCCCCACAGCCTGTGTGGCATCTGCATGCACTCACCTGTGTTTCGCCCCTTATGCTGGTGCCCACACACTATGGCAGCTGTTGTGGGTAGAGCCACTTGGTTCTAGGTTCAAGGGCTCCGCTCTTTCCAGCAGGGGAACCTAGGCTGAGTGATTCCCACATCTCTAAGTAGCTGTTTCCTCCTTACTGGGCTCTGGGTTTACCTACTGCCTCTTCTCCACCCTCCCCACCCCCTGCAGGTATTTGCAGCTGTGCATAGTGACTGCCTGGCTGGGAACTCACACTGGAATTCTGTTCTGCAACAGCAAAGAGTGAAGGTCTCCAAAGGTAGGGACTTACGTCTCCAAAGGGTCATCAGCAGGGTGGGGTCAGGGGAGAATGCTGGGATGGCTGTCCCCGAGGCTTTGGATGTGTGAGTGGAACCATGGTCATAGCAACAGGCTCCCTTCTCCACTGCATCAGAGCTGGTGTGATAGTCTATACCCCACTAATATATATATATATATATATATATATATATATATATATATATATTAGTATATATAATTAATATATACTAATTACCTCACACACATTACAGAGGGAGGGTCCTTAGGAGGCCAGTGAGACTTAATTTAGGAACCCAGCCTTTTTCTGTGGTGGGGGTGGAGGATTTCATCATTGGCTTTGTTGAGATTTGTATTAGTGATTTTATATGGCTGTGATTAAAACACCACAGCCACGGTGATCTATAAAAGAACACAATTGTGCTCACTGTTTCAGAGGGATCGGGTCTATAATGGTGGAGCAAAGGCGTGGCTGCAGGCAGCTGAGTGTCCATATCACAAGCAGGAGACAGAAAGAGCACCGCACCCCTCCTCCCGCCATGATGCACCTTCTTTAACAAAGACACCCCTCCTAATCTTTCCCAAACAGTTCCATCAAATGGGGCTGAATATTCAAGCATGTAAACCTAGGGTGGCCATTCTTATTCAAAACACTATGTGGTTCCTACTGCATCCCCACCTCTGCATCTTCAGCTTGTTTGGGGCTCAGCTCCGTCTGGCCTCACATTCCTACTTGGACTTGTGGGGTCCAGCTGTTACTGTCTATATATGCTAATGAGTATGGTAGTGCCGGGCTTCCAGATGTTTGTGAAAGAAATAAAGTAGGCCAGGTGTCGTGGCACACACCTTTAACTCCAGCACCTAAGGGCAGAGGCAGGTGGACCTCTGTGAGTGAGTTCAAGGCCAACCTTGTCTACGGAGTGAGTTCTGGGACTGCACAGTAAGAAATGGAGGGTAGGACGGGCAGTGGTGGCGCACGCCTTTAATCCCAGCACTCGGGAGGCAGAGGCAGGCGGATCTCTGTGAGTTCGAGACCAGCCTGGTCTACAAGAGCTAGTTCCAGGACAGGCTCCAAAACCACAGAGAAACCCTGTCTCGAAAAACCAAAAAAAAAAAAAAAAAGAAAGAAATGGAGGGTAGGAGGAGGACAAAGAGGAGGAGTAGGGCTAGGAGGAGGGGGGAGGAGGAGGAGGAGGAAGAAGAGGAGGAGGAGGAGGAGAAGAGAAGAAGGGTGAGTAGGAGGAGGACTAGGGGGAGGAGGAGAAAAAGGAGGAGGGTGAGTAGAAGGAGAACTAGGGGAAGGAGGAGAAAGGCGAGGAGGGTGAGTAGAAGGAGAACTAGGGGAAGGAGGAGAAGAGGAGGAAGGGAGTGGTGATAGCAGTGGAAATAGAAGGCCAGGAAGATGGTTATGAGTACTAAATGAACTGAGGAACTTCGTGTTCCGTGGCTCCTCTGCCATTACCCTCTGCCCTTCACATACACCTACTACATGAACACATGTATGTATACATATGACAGGCAATGAATACAAAGCAAAGAAATGAACCAACAGAGGGGAGATGGCTGACTTACGGCCCTGGCCTCTCTCAGATGATGGTCTCTCTGTTGCCAGGCAACGCCTTAGCACCTGTCTGTAGAGGTCTTTAGCCTGTGACCCTGTCATCTCTTGCAGAGATGGAGTACGATGCTTACAATGATTCCAGCAGTTACAATTATGATTACACAGACATCTTTGACCCCATTGTGGTATTGGAGGAGGAGAATCCACTAGAGGCCACGGTGGCCCGTGTCTTCCTGGTGGTGATCTACAGCGTGGTATGCTTCCTTGGGATCATAGGCAATGGCCTGGTGATTGCCGTTGCCACATTTAAGATGAAGAAGACAGTGAACACTGTGTGGTTCGTCAACCTGGCCGTGGCTGATTTCCTGTTCAACATCTTCCTGCCCATCCACATCACCTACGCCGCTATGGATTACCACTGGGTGTTTGGGAAGGCCATGTGCAAGATCAGCAGCTTTTTGCTCAGCCACAACATGTACACCAGCGTCTTCCTGCTCACGGTTATCAGCTTTGACCGCTGCATCTCTGTGCTGCTTCCTGTCTGGTCCCAGAACCACCGCAGTGTCCGACTGGCCTACATGACCTGTGTGGCCGTCTGGGTTCTGTCTTTCTTCTTGAGTTCCCCATCTCTTGTCTTCCGGGACATTAACAATACGCATGGGAAAATAACCTGCTTCAACAACTTCAGCTTGTCTGCCCCTGCATCTTCCCCACACTCCACTAACTCCCAGGTGGATCATGTAGGGTTCAGAAGACACGTGGTGGTCACTGTCACCCGCTTCCTTTGTGGCTTCCTGATTCCCGTCTTTATCATCACCGCCTGTTATCTCACCATCGTTTTCAAGCTGCAGCGCAATCGCCTGGCCAAGAACAAGAAGCCCTTCAAGATCATCATCACCATCATCGTCACCTTCTTCGTCTGTTGGTGCCCCTACCACACACTCTACCTGCTCGAGCTCCACCACACGGCTGTACCGAGCTCTGTCTTCAGCCTGGGACTGCCTCTGGCCACTGCCATTGCCATTGCCAACAGCTGCATGAACCCCATTCTCTACGTCTTCATGGGCCACGACTTCAAGAAATTCAAGGTGGCTCTTTTCTCCCGCTTGGTCAATGCCCTGAGTGAAGACACGGGAGCCTCCTCCTACCCCAGTCACAGGAGCTTCACCAAGATGTCCTCATTGAATGAGAAGCCTTCAGTGAATGAGAAGGAGACCAGCGCACTTTGAGCCCTATTGGCAATGCCTCCATGGGTGCCACAGCCCAGGGACACCCAGGGATACCCAGGACTTGCCTCTTGAAGCAGGAGACATGATAGGAACCTGTCTGGTATGCTCCAATGTCACTACATTTTGTACATGTGCTCATGTTTTGAGTAGGATTCCAGAGTGTGGACACGGACACTCTTCCAGCAAAATGGAAGTCAGATCAATCTGAGCCTCTGGAGCAGGAAGAGTAGGGGACCAGCTTTGACTGACTCAGAAGAGAACAGGGTTCTCCATCCGGGCACATAATTTTCTGTGTGTGCTGCAGAGTCTCTAGTGTGGGTAAAGAACTCAGCGTAAACCCATTGCAGACCTGTTAGAGCCCACAGGGCAGTCAAGCCAGCAAGCCTCCCCTGCCACTGCCACCATCCTCCAAGAACTTGACTTTGGATTTCAGATGAGCTGGGAAGACCAGGACCCGAGGGGCTGCACGGAACCCTGCAAGGGAGAGGCCAGCTGTGGGTGGTGGTGGTGACAAAGCAATGGAGGAGAGCAGAAACCCAAAGGATGGAGGCACAGAACATCAGCAGCATGCCACAGGGAGATGGTGCTCTAGTTTGTGGGTTCAGGTGGTGGCAGCCCTTTGCTTCCGTGCCTATTGTAACCTGAGGCTGGTGGGGAGGAGGACATCCTCGCCAAAGCTTCCTCTCCATCTCAGGATCTCTTCTCTCCTTCCCTAATCCTCTCAGCTCTGGCTGGAAGGTCTTAGAATACACCTCCCTGGGTGGAGGGTGGAGGGTAGAGGGAGGAAGGTGAGGGTGTCATCTCCCCCATCCATCCTCTTTAAGCTTCCTGGAGACTAGAGAGTGGAGTTTTGAGACTCCAGGCTCAGAGCATCCCCCAAAGCTGTCTCTGGGGGCTCTGCTGTGAAGCTGATGAGCTGACTGACTCCTCCTTGAATCACCCTTCCCAGGTGAGGCGGCACATGGATGGACTTTCTTCCCCAAATCAGACACTTTCTCCTGGCAGGGAAGTCAAGACTTGAGGAGGGGAAATGGCTCACTCCACACTCTTAGTGACAGACCTGAGCCCAGCTCTGCCTGGCTGCCTTCACCCCTACACTGAGGATTTGATACCCTGCATTATTTAAACATATTAAACTTAAAACATTTACCATGCATTTAAAGTGTTTCACATGTATCTTCTCATTCATTCTTCACAGAAACCCTGATTTAGGTCCTTATACATATTAGGAGTCAGAGACTCAAAGAGGTTAAGTAACTGGGCAGTGGGACCAAGTGAGATGCTGGCAGGCTGGATTTGAACCTCAGTTTCCTGTCTCAAAGGAGAGGTGGAGTCAGAAAGAAACTAGTGGTTTGGGGTTTTAGCCATAAATATTGGTTCTTTAGTGGATCCATATGAACATTTTAAGTCTTTATGAAGCTTTGCATGTTGATTTCAGAGTAATCCAACATGCAAAGAAAATGTGCTTGATCTCCAACCTCCACTCCTTCTGATTACACACACACACACACACACACACACACACACACACACACTCGAAATCTGGGCAAGCCGAAGGAGGAGCCTGGCAGGGGTAGCCCTTCTGGGTCCATGGCCTCCAGGTCCATGGTGTCCACCTTTGGTTCTCTTCCAGGCCACTCCTCCGTCAGGATGTAATAGACAGATGTGTGTCCTCTGGCCTGGAAGCTCCTGAACTTTAGGCTGCTAGAACTCTCACTCCATCAGGGGACAGGCTGCTCCTCCCTTGTGGGGTCTTGAGATGAGCAGTTCTGAACTGATCCAAGCTGGAACTTCTGATTGCTTCAGAGGGCCTGAACTTACAGGGATTGAGAACAAAGAGGGAGGTTTAAAAATAGCCTTGAGTTCCCATTGTCCTTCCCAGGGCCCCAGATGTGAACTGTGGCATGCCACGGTATGGGATTCATCATGCCACAGACTTCAGGGTTGGCCAGGCTAGGCAGGGGACCATTGGAAAAGCTGACGAACAGGAGAGTGACACTGGCCAAGCCCTCTTCCTCCTGACTGTCCTAACACCCTATTCCTGCAAAGTGCTAAGTGAAACCTCCAGTCTTGTCCTCGCGGCTTCCCACAGCAACCCCTATCTCCTGGACCCATGCGTAATCCTTGCAGCTGGCCCCCTGTGTCCCTGCAAAGACTGACCAGGACAGCGCCTTCTCTGGGGCTGGGACCCAGCAAAGTGCCTCACTGATGCCTCGTGGGTGGGGGATGGGCTGAGAGAACAGAGGAACAAGACAAGATGTGGGGGGACAAGAAAGGAAGATCACTGGAGCGTGGGGGAGGGGAGCAGGGCTTGCTGAGGCGGAGAGGACCCATGCTTCTGAGCATCCAGGTGCCAATGAGCCTTCCAGTCTCTGCCTGGACCTGGCAGAGGTGGACATTGTGTCCCTTTGGGTCATGCGGAAGGTGAAGTCAGAGTCACACAGCTAGGAAGTGGTGTGGGGTATATGGGGGGGGGCACTTGGAACCAGCTTTGCTGCCTGAGACCCCACCTTTGTCAACCCAAGAAAGCAACATGGGAGGGAGGGAGGGGGAAAGAGGGAGAAAAGAGGAGGGGAAAAGAGACAGCGGAACCTCCACCTCCTTCCCACTAGCCCAGCTCTCCTGGAACTCCTCTAGCTCATCCCCTGGGGTTCTTTGGAGTCTGTGGTTCTGTGGTTCAGATGGAGCTCTCTATCCTTGTGGAGAGAGCAACTATGAGGTGTGATGCTTGTCACAGGGGATTAGGTACATGTCCTTGGGAAGGGATTGTGTTGACCTGGGGAGAGTAGGTCAGTGTTGAAATGGTGGGGGGGGGGGGGGCTGATGCTCCAGGTAGAACTGGAGGAGTACCAATGCCGAGGGAGAGCCATGCAGGGGTCTGAGGGTTGGACTGCAGGATAGTAAGCAGAAGGCGGCAGAGGACCAGAGCTGGGGAGGCCCAGGTGGGGACTGACCTGCTTAGACCTGCATGTTGAATCCCTCCCCTCTCCGCTCTAGAAAGCACTGGGGAAAGGAAGCTGGGAGGCAGGCTGCACAGCAGAGGTCTCTGGACTGGGAACATTGGAGAGAGTGGAGAGTTTGGGGAGGTATTTAAAAGCTCTGAGCTCTCTCAGGGGAGTGGTTAGTGAGAAGCCAACCCTGGGCCCATCTGTGCAGCACAGAGGTCCTGCTGCATCAGTTTGTTGATGGAAATTAATTGTAAATATTATTCAAATGTACCTCCCAGTGCACAATTATACTTCTCAGAGGAGTTCTGAGTACGTGAGGAAACTCTGTAAATAATACATACATTAGCCCGGGCGCACAGAGGCGCGCTGAAGCTGCTGCTGTGGGAGCTGTGGGAGCTACTCAGAGCATCTGCGCTGGAGGTTAGCCTTGGACAACCAGCTCTGTCTCTCTGAGCATGGGCACAACTCTAGGCATGCCAGCCTGGTCACTGGCCAGGTGGGGACACAGAGCTGGCAGGGGAGGAAGACACACAGATCAGAGCATGCCCAACTGGCCTGGGAGGCTCAATAGTGGCTGTAGTAATCGTGTGATTACTTGGGCATGCTCAAGCTTGGGGCAAGCATTTCCGTCTCGCAATCTCACTGAATCTTCATAGGAAAGACCATGGAAGACTTTATGCTAAGACCTAGTGCCTTGTCCATAGATGGATGAAGTTGAGAGATTCAGACAGGTGAGGTGAACTGTGCTAGTGAGAACTGAGAGCCAAGCCCTGTCTGTCTGTCTGTCTGTCTGTCTGAAAGCTCTTGCTTTCTCCGGAAGTTATTTGGTCAGTCTTTGTCCACCCCCATTAGCTTTCGAGGTGGGGTGGTGATGAGCCTGAGGGACTGCCTTGCCCCTGGAGGGGAGGACATGATGTTCCCAGGCTCATCAGTTCCTCTCAGCTTCTGGGCTTAGGAGTTCGGAAGAGACACTACTTCAAACTCACCCTTTCTCAGCCAGCACCCTATTTCCCAGACTGTGAAACTGAACAGGATACAAATAGTCGGGGGACACCCCCCCACACACACTTCAATGAGAGTGGTGTGAGCATGCTCCTGAGAGTCACTTTTAAAATTTCAGCTTGGTGGGCTGGAGAGATGGCTCAGCGGGTAAGAGCATTGCGTGCTCTTCCAAAGGACCCGAGTTCGATTCCCAGCAACCACATGGTGGCTCACGACCATCTGTGATGAGGTCTGCTGTCCTCTTCTAACAGGCATATATGCAAACAGAATATTGTATCCATCATAAATAAATAAATATTTAAAAAAATAAAAATAAATAAATAAATAAAATTTCAGCTTGGATACCCAAGGCTCACCAATCTGCCTTCTTCATGGCTAAACTTTGAATACCAGCTTTGGCAGCCATTTGCCCAGGGTCCATCAGAATCCTGGCTGAAACTGAGTCTTGGCAAAACCCACATTGGAGCAGAAACAAGATATTTCTAAGACATCTTCACTGTTGCCCTGGTAAGGGTGTCTCTGAACCTGGGAGGTAACGGCAGGGACACCTCCATATAATAAAATCTCAGTCTGTGTATCTGAGATGAATGTCTTATGAAGAGAATGAAAGATCTTGTAGATGGTGTCTGAAGGAGTGACCTTCCGTCCACACCCCTGCAGATGGCAGGGGGAAAGCAGACATGAAGCTTTGTGGGCAGATGGGAATGGTCCCGGTGGAATCCACCCAGAGAGTGAGCTCTCGCAGATAGCCAGATTTATTTATTTATTTATTTATTTTTATTTTTTATTTTTTTTGTGGTTTTTCGAGACAGGGTTTCTCTGTGGTTTTGGAGCCTGTCCTGGAACTAGCTCTTGTAGACCAGGCTGGTCTCGAACTCACAGAGATCCGCCTGCCTCTTCCTCCCAAGTGCTGGGATTAAAGGCGTGCGCCACCACCGCCCGGCCGATAGCCAGGTTTAAAGGCCTCTGTGATGGCAATGACTTGGCAAGAGAGGCTCCTTTCTCTGCCTGCGTGGGCTGGAATCCCACCTGCACTGTGCACAGCAATCAGGGGCCTGGCGGGGGGGGGGGCCTTGAAACACCTCTGAAACTCCTTGTTTCCCATATGGATGGTTTGTAGCTCTGGGATGCTGCAAGACTTCAGGAGTACAAGTACTTGGCCATCATTCCACGTGGGCCATCATCAAGCCCCTCACCGGCCAGGACCACTGGCTCACAAGTTTCCATCTCAGAACACACCCAGCCTTTGCTGCCATGACACACAGAACCTTGGAGAGCCAGCCACCAACTCCTTCTCCATGACATCAATTGCTAGTCAGCCCGCTCTCTTCACTGGCCCTCGGAATCTAAGCAGGGCAAACAGGTAGCCACCACCATAACCACTCCCCAGGCTGTTCTTTTGGGACCATCCTGCCTCCGGTACTGGCTTTGCCTATGTATTTCCCAACTCCCCTCAAATGTCACCTCCTCTTGGGCATGATGGCTCACTTGTAATCCAGAAATCAAAAAGCTGAGGCAGGAATTTGAAGCTAGCTGGACTACAGAGATCTGACCTCAAAAAGAAAAGCCCAAGCCAAACACATCAAGTCACTCCCTCAGCAACCTCCTCTGAGGTAGTCTGACCCCTGCTCAGGGTCACAGACGAGATCTCACTTCTCAGTAGCATGGGCATCAAAACCACTTCACTTATTACGTATGTAGTTGTCTCTTGTCTGTCGCCTATCGGAAGAGGAACTTCCCTGGGGCAGGAGCCCATGTGCCCCACTCGCCCTGAGTTCCCAGCACCCACAACAGAGCTCAGCTTGGAAAAGCTGCTTGCATTTTGCTATCACTGAATGGGATGAAAGTCCTTCCCCCTTGACGTGGTTCCTTCCCCCTCGGTTCCCTATTGTAACCTCACAACGCCCCCCAAAGACTTTGTGTGGAGAGGGTGGACCAGATCATTGTATGAATTGGAGGAGTTGTGGCTCTTCCTGAAGCCACTGGGAACCATGGGGGGCAGAATAGATTTTCATTAATGGCCTTCATTCCTGCTTGTCTGGTTTATTGCAGCTTGGGAATAAAAGAACCAGATACCTCCAGCCCCGCATCCTCCCCATTGTTTTCCAGACCAGGATTCTATTAAAGGTTTGGCAGGCATGGTTGTGACCACAGACTTCCTGTGTTTACCCTTCTGCTTGGAAATCGGGCATGGAGTCTGTGTTGGCCGTGGATGGGGTCCCCTGGCGCCCTGAAGCTCTGCAGCCCAGATGTGCTAGTAGAGACAGGCATAGGTTTCTCTGTGACCTGGTTTCTGCTGCACAGATGTTTGGCATCCTACAGCATCTGGATAGCCGAATGAATTTCTGATTTGATTCCAGATGTTGAAGGAGACAGGAAAGGGGACTCGAGGCCTATGCATT